TATTGATTCACAAATACAACTGCTCATTTACGATGACAAATGCTCATTTTTGAATATAATTTAACTAATTAAAACAATTAGTTATGTGACTGAATTAGTGCCACAGGTCACTCTCCTACGGGGAGCCAGTGACATCAAATACTCTCCCGTCATGTGACATCATCCGGGAACCATCCATGGGGACAGAACCGGACTGTGGGACCGAGGGGTGGAGCTCCAGTGAGCTCACCTGTGGCGGCAACGGCGAAGGAACCTCATGATCTTGCGGGCAGCCTGGTCCTGCTTCTTGGTTAACAGACTGCTTCTGAAACACACAGGCAATTGGGCTTTGGGTTAGCCTCAGGTGTGACTTAAATCAAGTGATTACACCATCACACCATGACGACCCTTAAGGGATGAGGTTTGTATCCACATTCAGATGATGAGTTAATCATTCTGAGCCAATTGTGTACTTAATTTAATCCTTACTGAGGTAATCACAGTTCAAGAACTCAATAAGTATCGACCCTGTATCGCTTACATCCTTGCGTTTCTGTGGTCATGAAACTTTCATTGGTGACAGACAGTCTGTGAAAAAGAATGCCTTGAACGTGGAGAAAATATTTCATGGAAAATGACAGATTATTGTACCAGCTGCTGGTAAACCTACATTGTGTAGGAAATTGTTTTTTTTTTATAATTGAATGCAAACTACAGCACAGTGCAAGAACAACCCCACCCCCCACTACTCAAGAGAACTTTTTTGTTGCAGATCTTGTTGCTTATTCCTTAAGCACTTGTGTAAACAGCATCGCAACCATTAATTCGGCAGCAGAGGCAACTTAACTGTAGTACCACAAAACTGGGGTTTGTAGTCTAGAGAATTCTGCTGAGTTCATTCATGGAGCTGGAAGTGTGAAATGAACTCAAGTTCCCTAACATTTTGAATTATTAAATACTCTGTGTTCCCTTTCAGTGGCTCGCCAAACAGCAATAAAACCTTTTATATACTTTTCTACAGCTCGACGTTTTAGAGGAACTCAGTGATAGTGCAGACCACGCCTGGGCCTTCAGCCAGCACCCTCCGACTGAGGTACCTGAGCTTGTGCTGCACCATGGTGGTGGTGCCATGGCGACGAGGCTTCAGCCGACCAAACTCCCTGTAGCTGCGGTAACACTGCTGGATCAGCAGGGCAGCTCGCCGACTCTGCTGGAACTTCTTCTGCTCGTGGTAGCTGCGGAACTTACTCTGGATAAGGATGGCGGCCTGCGTCATCTTCTTATAAAGTGCATACTGTAATTGTGGTGGGGGGGGGGGGGGGGCAGAGAGAGATATCAGAAAGTCAGCCCTGTCACAGGTGACGTAAGATTGTGATACAGAAAAGGAGATAAGTAACATTACCTTCAAGGCTATCCATGTTAGCTTGTAAAGGAAAGATAACGATGAGTAGGTGGAGGTGAATGAGTAGGTGGAGAGAAACACAGAAGTACACTGGGTATGAAGCAATGCTTCATTTGCCATTTCCAGAAATACATTTCAAGGCTCCTTCTCACATACCCCATCTTGCTCTCCAAAGAGAGACACGCACACAAATATAGTATCATTTCAGGTTCAGAAGCTACAAATCCAGACCAAGATTTTGTTTCAACCAACCAGCTGAGTATTCTGTGACTGTCACTCTTTATGCTCAGCTGGTTCGTAGAAACAAAATCCTGGTCTGGATTTGTAGCTACTGGACCTGAAATGCCCAGCGCTGCACATTTTGTACAGCTTACAGAAAGACTTTGGGTCCAAGCACAGGCTCAGGCCATTTATTCGGTACGCCTGGAATCCTGGGGGTTAGGGTTAGGGTTAGGGGCCTTCCAGATGGTTAAAGGCCTAGTTCACGGCCCCAAAGAAGATATAACTATTCTGCCAAGGCGAGAGGTTGAGTTGTCAGACGTCCAATCACAAGCACAGAAGCCTAACCTGCTGAACACACAGCACCCCTCCATGACCAGGGCGGGGGCCTCTAGCATACCCTACGCATGTTTCTCCAGTACAGCGACTAGAACTTGGATTGGGGACAGCCCACCAACGCATGTAGCCTATTCATCTCTATGCAGAATGACCATCTAGGGCTTCTCAAGGTCTGGACTGCAAGTCGACGATGCACCTTATTAATCAATTTGGTTAAGATAAAAAGCAGGGGTGGGGACTCGAGTCACGGACTCGCACTTTGACCACTTTGAGCTACAGCAGCAGGTCAGGGCTGCCCAGGTGGCCTTACCTGCTTGTACTTCTTGTAGCAGCGCTGAATCACTGCAGCGGCTACTTCCTGCTGTTCCCGTAGTGGGCGTCCCTGCCATGGGGACACCTGAGGTCAGTTTGTCAGTCAAATGAAGAAGGAACAGTGAGTGGGCAAGAGCTGGGGCCAGTGTATTATTCCACACTGAAGAGGGAGTGTTCTTTCCCTCCAAAAACTCAATTGTAAGAATAGAAAGATATTTTGTTGATATAATGCAATAGCAGAGATCTGGCAGCAGAGGGAGCTGCGCAGCTAATACTCAGCGAAGCTGAAGGGATTGCGTTTGTGCCTGTATTCAGGGAGAATATGTAGAATGCTGACTACATGTAAAGGTCACATGACACCACGGGGCATTTACTGTTATTTGACTTCTTCTCCAGTTAGTGTTTTCTAAGAATGAGCCCGCAGTGGAACTTCGTCAATTGCATAATTAAACTAGTGAGACTGATCCAAGGTTAAATCTGACTTCACCCCAATACTGAAAGCAGCTTTTCCCAACACACTGTGCAATCCATAGGTGGAAAGTTCAGGTCCAGAAAGTAAAAATCCAGACCAAGATTTTGTTTCAACCAACCAGTTGAGTAGAAAGAGTCACATTCACAGAGGACTCAGCTGGTTGGTTGAAACAAAATCATGGTCTGGATTTTTACTTTCTGGACCTGAACTTCCCACCTCAGGTGTGACCTCACAGCCTGCTAGCCGGTCCGCACATACCTTGTACTTGCGGAAGGCGGTCTGCACCAGACGGGCGGCTTCGTACAGCTCCCGCTGCTCGGGGTCGGACAGGGTCAGCTGCGCCAGGTCCCGTTCTGCCTTGCTATTGGAGGCGCCCAAGAAGTCACCCCAGTCAGCCGGGGAGAGCAGACTGGGGCTGTCGAAGGGCCCCTCCCCGAGGGGGGAGCTGCCTGGGCTGAGGCTGGGGTTGGAAGAGGGAGTCAGGGGCTCACTGTACAAGGACCTGATACGGGGAAGGCGGGGGCGCTGTCAGTTTTAATAATCTCCACCTCACAGCTGACACTTCATCTAAAGCAACTTCTAACATTCAAACAACTGGATATATTGCTATAGTGATCCAGGGTAAATACTCTAAGGTACTAGAGCAGGACCCTCCTGGGATGTGCTGAAGCTGTGTATGTAGTCCCCAGCAAGCACAAGGAGAATGAAGCTGCTCAGGAATATATATGACATTCTGAGTATAAATCTCTGTTCTGACCTGGAACTATGTGCCCCCAACTGTTACAACGGGGTTCTAAGTACCACCGACTGTTCCGACAGGGTTCTAAGTGCCACCGACTGATATGACGGGGTTCTAAGTGCCACAGTCTGTTCTGACGGGGTTCTAAGTGTCCCCAACTATTATGACCTGGTACTAAGTACGACTATCTGTTCCAACATGGTACTAAGTGCCCCCAAAATGTTCTGGCTTGGTACTAAGTGCCCCCGACTTTGATCCCAGAAGCATGAAACAAGTTGTGAAACCCGCCAGTAGCCCTGGTAATCTCATCTTGAGTTCTCCTTTACCCTTCAAATCTCAACCAGGAGAGCTTCACACCCACTCATACGGTACAGAGTACAGTGACCAATAGTACGTAATTGAACTAAATAGAAATAGACAAGTATAGACTGCCTTTGCAATTGACTGTGCACATCTCAGAGCAGTCGCTGAAGTCCACCTTATTGATGACGTTAAGAAATTCACAAACTGCAGTCAATGAGTCTGACTCTGTTTTTGGTAAAACTCAACGGCTGATTAAGCACTCAGAGGAAATACTGATGCTGCTGTCTATGTACACTAATTACTGCAAAAAGCTTCGTTAATAATATGTGCAATAAGGTCATCTGTAGTTGTCAGGGCTCTGGTCGCTTGGGGGCCACTTACCGCAGGTGTATGATGCTGGACAGGTGTTCCATGTCGCCCAGGTAACTGGCCAGCCAGCTCATGGTGGTGCTGATGCCCGTACTATCCATGGGCACAGTCTCCATGGCGACAAAATTCTCCCGCTTGATGCGTTCAGGTGTGGCCTCGATGATGTGTTCCGCCAGGGTCATCATGTTCACCTGAGGGGTCGGCACACACAAAGGAACGTGGTTATGTAGACAAAGCTCGCACTCTCCCTGTATATTCTTCATTGAATTATTTAGCTGACATTTTTATCCAAAGTCACTTCCCCCCTTTTCACTGCAGCCAAGCAGATAAATACCTGACTCAACAGTGCAACAGCAGTGACCTTCAGATTACAGGTCTGTGCCCTTAATCATTATACCACCCCCACATCCTGGTGCATTTCGCCCTGTGGTCTGTTTATCTCCATGGTCAGAGTCTGCAGTGATGGGCAGGGGGGGGGGGAGTCAGGACGATTCCAAGGGCCCCAGAGTGACAGAGGCCCTAAAAAATTTGGAAAATAACTGGACTGGTCTGGACTGGGGGGGGCAATATAATATGCTTTCATGGGCCCAAAATCTTTAGCAATGCCCCCAGTGATGGGAATCCTGATGACTGGGGGTGTACTACCACCCACTCTGAAGGCTTCTGAAGGTCGGACCATGTTTCAAATGCTTGTAATTTTTACATGAAGGAGCGTAATTTACACCCAAACCGAGGTCTGACTGAACAAGACAATCGGAGAGCAAATTTCAGAAACTTGCTCAGGAGGTGGGTTTCTGAGAAAATTTCTGTGGACTTGAATTAGTTTTGAAAATATAACCAAAGTTCTTTATCGCATTACATGAGAACTGAGACATTTTTTGTTCCCAATGCTATAACATACGACGAGGAAGCCCGACGTTAGGTCATCTGCGGTCTCATCTCAGAAACAAGAAAAAAGCACTGTGTGGGTTTTGGAAATTTGATGGTTCTTTTTGGGGTGTTTATAAACAAAACTGCAATCAACGGAAGAGAGAAAGTCAATTAGCACACATCCGTGCGTTGGATATTTATTCTTTAATGTGGTATAATGTTATACAGTGCTAACCTGACTGAGTATATGAACTACAACTAAGTTTTACTAAAAAGAGGCTTGTGAATATTCTCCCTACACATCGTGTAAAGAAAGGGTATTTTGGTCATATCCCAGCTGTCCTTTCCTGTTAAGCAGTGACACGCCTCTTGCCGCAGGATGACCAAAGTCAAAGACAAACTAAAGAACCACAAGATCTGATTGGTTGCCATTCCACTGCCCCGCCCTCTCGCCCACCTGTAGGTCATCCATGTGCGTCATGCAGCTCTGGTTCTCCAAGTCATCTCGGTAGGAGAGCAGTTCTGGTTCAGCCATCTCCCGCTCTGACATCACCAGGGCGCTGGCGGCCTCCCGCTGACGCAGCCTGCTGGCCAGCTTGTCCTTTCCCGGACCTCCTCCACCTCCTCCACCCTTCCTCCCCGGTGCCACACCAAGGTACACCTCCCTGGAGCTCCACCTGTTGCCCAGGCCCTGGAAGACCCCTTGCTTGGCCTGGGATGCCCCTCCGCTGCCCTCCAGACCGCCATCTGGGCCCAGGCTCTGAGGGATCGCGCTCTTCAAGCTGCTGGGCAGCTTATGGAGCCGCTGCTGCTCCAGGCCCAGAGCCGTGGGCTGGCCCTTGTCGGAGCGTGCCTGGGAGGGCTCGGGGTTGGGCTTGTGTTTCTTGGCGAGGGGAACGTCTCGCGGACACTCGCCGCCGTGGTAGCTGGATGACTCTGACCTGGGTCTTCTCAAGTCTGGCAGAGGAGTCGAAAGTCAATACATAACAGCTTTGGTTACTTTGGCCAGAAGGTGACACATTCAAACAAGTCAATGGCTACCGAATAGGTGCCCTCACCTGGGTTGAGGGGCGTGGCCTGAGCTGTGGAGACTCCGCCTTTATGCCCCGTCGGCGCCACCCCTGGTTCACTGTTCCAGGCAACCATCCACCCATCATGGGCAGAAGGGTCCGGGGTGGGAGAGAAGGAGACGCGAGGGGTGGAGGGTGGGGACGTGGGTGGAGGCTGCTCTTCCCTCTGCAGCTGCTCCAGCCGGTCAGCCAGCTTGGTGTGGCCGCGGGATCGAGCGATAGCCAGGGGCAGGCGGCCCAGCGAGTCCGGGATGGCAAGTGCCCGTCGGTCCCACTTGTACAGCACCACTGCTGCTTCCAGGTGGCCCAGAGCACAGGCCCACATCTGCGTGGGGTCCAGGGAATGAAATGGAAAATGGGCAGATGGACAAAATCACCATATGACATCACAGCTATCCAAAAACTTACAAATTACAAATATTTTCTATACTTCTCATAACAATTTTTCATTAATTTAATTGATAAATTAAAGACAGGAAGCAGAGCTACCTTCATTGCACAATTCTTTAAAATTACACTTTGTTGATACAAGAATTCTTACAGTAGGCCATGACAGATGTAATCTCATCATCTCAGTTCCTTTGCTGTATAAAATCTTGAAGGACCCAAGAAGTACTTGTCCCCTTAGCCAGTTTTTCTTACCAGGGGGGTGCAGGAGAAGTGATCCACATTGAGAGGGTCCACCTCCAGCTCCAGATCAATGCTGTCTGCATGCTTGGTCCTGACAGAGCAGGGATGACACTCTCAGACTGGCTTTTAGTAAGAGAGAGCCTAGACCTACCATCCTGAGAATCCAAAGGCATCAAATGCTGTATAACACCAAATAAAGTCCTCAGATATCTAACTGAAATACTCAACTTCCCAAGGACTGGAAGAACAGTGAGGGAGTTTTTTTTTGTAATTTATTTCCTTTCTAACTTATTTGCTAAGTTGCTAAGTGTAATGCACACATTAATTTCTGCGTTACATTCACCAGACGGGCAATGTGTTTCTAAACATCTCTCCTTACTTAGGGTTGGATGCTGGAATAATTAATCATGGTACAGGAGCAAGGAATGATTGCATTAATATGAAATAAAATCACCCTGCAATCGTGTCAAGAAAAAAGCAGCTGTAAGATTGACGGATGAATGAAGAATATTTTCGAGGTGCCATCCACGCATATCCGGCACCATATGCCAAGTAAATCTGTAGCTGCTCCCTAATATTTACATTTAGCTGCTTGATTGACAGTTACAAATGAATATATCCTGGTATTTTCCTGGAGCAAACCAGTAAAATACCTTACTCAGGGGATAACAGCAGATCCCAGGTGGGATCAGTTTGTGGGGCTGATTCTCGGGTGCCTCTGCACGTTACGGCATAATGCTGAATGAATGCGAGCTGCTTGCTGCAGGGCCCGTGGGCTCTTGGCTCACCTCCACTTGATAAGAGTCTGAATGAGGGTGGCGTAGCCCTGCCCGGCTGCCAGGTGCAGCAGCGTCATGCCGCGGAACGTCTTGGAGTGGATCAGGTGCTTGGACTTCGCCCAGCAGGTCCGGTTCATCATCTTCTCGCACACCACTACCACCCGGCTCTCAAAGGAGCTGCCGGCGGGGCCCTGAGCCTGTACGTATGCACACACGTGCAGAGAAACGCATGCACACAGAGTCACGCGCATGTACACAGAGTCACGCGCATGTACACAGAGTCACGCGCATGTACACAGAGTCACGCGCATGTACACGCGCGTAAAGAGAGAGATACACAGAAGCGCAAACTCAAAACAATCCCATACTGAGCAGCAGAGGACATTTCCGCCAAAGTGGGAGAACCTCACTTCTTGCCTTGTGACCCATGTGATGTCATAACATTTCTTGTGATGACATCACAACTGGCCCAAATGTCAATGGCCCCCTAAAGCATAAGCGACAGTGCCAAGCAGAGGCAAACTACACCAGGCACAGGCTTTGCACCATGTCTGGCACCCGCGCATTACCTGCGACTGGCTGCTGCTGCCGCCTCCGCTGCTTCCGTTACCGCCTCCGCCGTCACCTGCCCCTCCACCAGGCCCGGAGGCTCCGCCGCCGCCCTGCTGGTGGTGGCCGGCCATCTCAGCCATCCTCCGCTCCATCTGCTCCAGCCGCTCCAGAATGGACATCCTGAATTGGTTGTCTGAAAGGCAGGGAGACGATGGCCTGTGTCACTGAACCCTTCACCCATCTTGGAGCAAGTGACCTACCCTAAAACTCAGGACTAGTACCCCATACCTGGCCAACCCTGCATTCTATTACACACTGTTGTTAATATTCCACTTTTTCTGCACTTTAACAGTACTATGCTCCCTCTGTGGCTCTTTGCATATTCTTCCCTGATGCACCACCGATTTATTGCTTATTTATTGTCTCTCCTTATATTGCATGTCACACATACATGTCTTTTGTCTTGCATTGTATTGTCTGTTGTTGGTCCTATTGTCCTCCCCATGCACCGGTCCCCAGACAATAAAACTTGAAACTTGACCCACTGATCATCACATTTTAGTAACACTACAATAAATGTTATGAGACACATGATAATTTGTGTAAGCAGGAACAGGATGTGACATAGCAACAGCAGTATTGTCATGGCGACGACACATTAATGTTTGTTAATAACTGTGAATGGACTCCTACTGGGAGCAGGGGTGAATATGACACCATTTGTGTTTACTTATCGGTGTCCAGGGGTATCAGAGACAAATAGGTGTCTATGAATTACTTATGCTTTTAAATTATTAGGGGGTTACTAAATGCGAGAGAAACATCTACCAGCCATGCGGATACACACAGACACACAGACACACAGACACACAGACACACACACACACACACATACACACTCAGACACAGACAGACAGACATACACAGACACACAGAGACACACACAGATAGACAGAGACACATAGAGACAGTTGACATATTCATATCTTTGTGGGGACATTCCATTCATTATGATAAGTAACAAAACAAAAATGTACTTTTTTGACCGCATTCACAAATGTTTATGAAGTTAAGGTTATTCATGTGGAGACTGAAAAAATGTGCCCACAAGGTAGTAAGATACAGGTTTTTTAATGACATTGTGGGGACATCTGGTCCCCATAATGTAATAATTACAAAAGCACACACACATCTACACATGAACACATGCTTAGGCAGAACCAATACAAACTCATATGAATTCTGACACAGAAATTACTACAGCATTTTCCTACAGTACAGGAATGTGTTGGTAGGTGTGTTATAGATGGAATTTGAAGCGTCAAACTGAAAGAATATTTGGTTATTATTATATAATCCTCTTATTAATTTTTAACTAATCAGCCTAAATCAGTCTTAATAGTTTAGTAGTTCAGTAATTTAAATGGTTTAATTCCTATCCTTAATGAATTAATAAAGTACATCATTTTTTTTCAGTGATTGAGAATATAAAGTGTACACAATGTATCCATATGCGTGCGCACAGTTACCAAATCTGCTATTACCTGCTCTGGCTACCTATGATATTACGGCTTTTGTAAGACACTGGCACAATGTGAAGGGTTATGGAACTTTGCTGCAGGCTTCGGGATTGATGACTTCCTCAAATCAAAGTGCATAAAGCTGGTAGCTGTCACTGCACATACGATGTGTCATTACAGCTTAGCAGCTGTGTGTGACACACGGTCCCCCATGTAACAGTTCATCAGCTCATTATCTGTCACTCAGTGCCGCTCACGCGATCCTGAGCCCCGGAGGTCTCCCAGCGCTGCCGTCCAGGCACAGAAGAACTTCCCACCTGACCTACTTTGACCTGATGGTATCTATAACTAGACACAGGCGTGCCAAGTGCAGACCCACTTCCTCTCTTGGCTCATCTCCTGAGGAGTGGGTTAAGCAAACTGCTGTGACGGGCAGCGGGATTGGTGGCCAGGAGAGGGGGGCAGGATCGGGGAGGGCGTATCTCTGACCCCATGTCCCACATGCACGCAGTGCCTCAGCAGCTATGTGGAGGGTGAACCGGCTCAGATATTCCTCCCCCTACTGCCTCACTGTATACCGGGGCCGCCGCAGTGACACGCAAGAGCGAATCGTCACACTGCCGTGACTGCTGACGTGCTCTCCGTGGCGGTAACCAAGCAACAGGCGTACACATGCATGCATGCGCGCACGCACTCAGTCGTGTGCGTCTCTGAGCACCACCTTGGTGAATGTAAAATGGCAGGCGGAAGGACGAACATAAAGCCAGAAAGGAAATGGGGAGAAGGTCAAGGCCCTAAATTCTACTTTAATCCTGTATGGCATTTATTAGACAGGGCCTCATATTTTTGAAGGGATCTGAAGCAAAAGAAAAAAAACAACAACACTGGGGTTGTGAGAGACTGCGGCTTCCTGTCTGCTCAGATTAACTACCCTTTAAAACGGAGCTCTGGTGCTGACCCGCTCGGAGGCCACAGGGGCACGATCAGCCCGCGAGTTTGTCTGCCTGCCAGGAAATATCTCACGTCCAGGTGGCCTCTGGCGACGCTTGTATTTTTAATTACCAACAGGGAGAATACAAAATTGGCTGGGATGGTGGATTTTTAATGGCCCTTATCTGTCTGAGCTCAGTGGGGCGTGCCAGGCGGCTGGTGATTGGCTGGAGAGTGGCCCCGCCTCTCCGGGCAACCGCTCCATGCAGGACCGGGAGGCATGTGCTGTAGTGTCCAAGGAACCTGACTCCTGGTTAAAAGTTAAACCGGTTCAAGTGCTGAGGCGGACATTGCTTTAATGCGCCTATGCTACATGCAGCCAGCTGACGGCGAAGGTGATGCCTGTGAGTTCTGGATAAATTTATAAGAGCATCCATGGTGGAGGCAGACCCGGGCTGCAGGGCAGCGGTGTCACTGTAAGCCACAGCACTGCAGTGCGCTGCGGTGCTGGTGATGTCATCGCCACCTGCTGCCTCTCACTCAGCTCGCTCCTACGAGCGCTGCGGAGAGAGAGTGCGACTGAGGGAAGGGAGGAGGGCGGGCGAGCGAAGTGGAGAGGGAAGCCTCAAGTGACCGGCCCTGCTGTCATGCCCCGGTGTACCTGCAAGCCAGCACCCGCCCCTTTCACATGCTTCACCCCAACAGCCAATTACAGCAGCCGCTTTCAGAGTTCCGGCTGCTACCATTCACACATCTATTCACTCTACAGTTATGTCATATTCAGAGCTCTGTCTAGCCTGGTCCGATGCCAGTAAGGTCGCTGTTCTGTCCCGTTTAGAGCCTCATTCTGGGCCCAGTTCTGACTGTTCAGAGATCTGTTTTGTCCCCAAGGGCGCCATAAAGGGGGGGAGGGGGGGTTAGGATAATTCCAAGGGCCCTAAAATATTTTGAACATAACTGGATTGGTCTGGGTTGGGGGCCCAAAATCTCTAGCAGCACCCTTGTCTGTCCCATTCAAAATCCCAATTTCCAACCCGAGCCCAATTTGCACTCCTGTTCAGCCTCGTTCTGAGCTCCATCCAGCCCTATTCAGGTCCATTCAATACTGTCACGTACCACTTAAAGTCTCATTCAGAGTCCTGTTTAATTCCAGTCATACCTCAGCTGTCCCTTTGCGAGTCCTAATAAGCCTTATTTAGGGTCCTATTCAGTCCCATTGTAAGTGCTGATCTCAGTTTCTCCCTTGGAGTCAGTTTTCAGAGTCAGGCGTAAGTTTTTCGACATCATTCGAATCATGAACAGTGAAACACACATAATATAAAAGTGAGGGATTTGTAATTTTTTATTAACCTGGTGTGCTAGGTTTTATTACCATTAAGCCCTTAATTAATTGGCAATTTCACTTCATTAGTTAACTTAGCCTGCTGAATGAAGGGTGTGATTATTACGTTAAACTGATTTTCTGTTAATACATAAAAATCTGGACCAGTGAAACAAAATGAAAGTAAATGTATCTCAGAAAATATCACTTTGTCCCCTTATAATCAATGATGATCTGCAGGGATAATTTAATTTACTCAACACATTAATCCCTCTAAACAAAAAGTTTCAGCCACATTTCTGTTGTAAATAACTCAGATACTAGACTAAAAATGAAGTGAACTTGGTGGCTACACGCTATCAGGGTTGCAGGCTGAATACTTGCACTCAACCTGTGATCCTGCGGGTACCCCAGTTACTTCCTGCTGTCCCACAATCATGGTATTAAGAGAGCTGCTGTGTATGTGCCCTGTGATGGATTGGCACACCTGCATGGCCTGGGTCAGTCTCCACGCTCATCGTGACCCTGTCCTGCTTCAACCGTTTTCATTTACTCATTTATCTGACACTTATATCCAAAGCAATTTACCGTAGAAAGAAGTGTAACAATTCATGTGCGCTCCCTGGCATGATGAGTCAAAAGACAAACAAATAATAACACCGTTTAAATCGAAATAGACTGACACTGAAATTAAATTAATCAAGACACCACTTGACTAGTCATAAAAGAAATGACTGGAGTGCAACTGAAATACAACAATGTCCTCTACGACAGTACAATGGCAGGCCCCCAGTGGCATAGGGTATGTCCGCACTAATTCGTTTTGTTTAGCTTATGATTTAGCCTTCTGTCCGGACTACCACATATTTTTTGCCAGAAGCGGAGAAAATTTTCAGAGCTGTCCGACAAACTTTCTGTAAACGCATTAGTGCGGATGCTCGTAAACGTAAAAGTTCTGTAAATCTTCATCATTGAGTACCTATTGGTTCGTACTTAGCTCGTGACCCTTTCCTGATTCGCTCTCTTTCTTTTGATGTCTCTTTTCCTGATTGGTTACTCTTCAACGAAGAATGCTTTTCCTTTGTTTTCACGTAAAGAGCCACGTGTGAACGTAGAGAATGTACAAGACTTTCACTACCTGGCTGCTGTTTTGCTTACTTGTATGCAGCTAAATCGTGTTTTGTGTACATTGTACGCTGTTTATAAGTATTGTAAAGCTCAAAACGAGGCTGTACCTGAGCCAAATATAAGTGCAACTCTATCTTACGATAAAGACATTCAGCCATCAAACATTAGAGTTCACTGAAACTGAGGAGAAGAGAGAGACGTGTAGTGACTAAATTTTTGGTTCCCTGTGTTGTTGCTGTGATTTACATTTAGCAGACGTTCTTTTCCAGAGCGACTTACAACCAGTGCTTAGTA